GAAGTGTACAATTCAACGATCTTCATAAATTTACAAGGCTGTGCAACCATAGAATTTTAAAGCCTTCTTCTCACCTCAGAAGGCCGTTCATGCCCTGTGCTACTCCCCTCATCTCTTACCACACAGGCAATTTTGAAGGTCACATTTGCCTAAGGATAAAAGGCACAGCTTAACTGAGTCAACAAAACCAAGGTACCAATTTAAGAAGCATCACGTATTCACTGCAGTTCTACTTTCTCATTTGCTCAAAAAGACTGAACAGAAGTCTGTAAGGTGAGGAGTGGGGGGACGAGGTTCCAAACGTAAACCATTATGAACTGAGAAATAAACAGAAGTGCCGCCATGTTTTCAGCACTTCTACCAAGCTCCAGTGTGGTGTAATGACAGTTGGTGAGCTGTTTGTCATGAGACAGTCCATAACAGGGGGCCCTAGATCAGAAGAAGGCTGAACCATAAAAGTTGAGGCAACACGCCAGGCAAAATTAACGTCTACCATGGTTCAGGCAAGAGGCTGTCACAAGAAAAAGCAGCTTCCCTCAGCTCACCTTGGAGCCTGGGTGGCACAAATGGTTTACCCAACTGCCAAAGTACATGTTGCCCCTTGGAAGCCGCCAGTGGCTCCGTGGAAGAAAGAGCAGGCAAACTGGAGCAGTTCTACTCTGCAGCACACGGGGTCACCAAAAGGAGAGGCAGCTATGACAGCCACCAGCTCATTTCCCAGGATTCCTCCTACGTGTGCGTGGCAGCTAGCTAGTCCCAGGCACACAGGGTTCCCTCCCACAGGCCCTCCCCGCTGCAGTTTACAAGGCGGGCCCGGGCCGGAAGCCGACTCCCCAGGGGTCCCGCCCCAGGGAGGTTCAGCCTTCTGCCTCCCCCTGGCGGGGACTGCTGGGGCAGAAAGGAGCGACCGGGCGCTGGGATGGTGGTCACGGGCCCTTGGCCCGCTCATTCAGATCTTGGTCCCAGGGCGGCGATCACTTCGTGGTGGCTGTCTCCCTGCTCAGCGTTGCGCTGCCGTCCGACCCACCCTTCCCCACCCCCTCCCCGCGCCGCCGTCCGCTATCGCTATCGTGGCCGCCGACTGCTCCAGCCAGCCGGCAGGAGCCCCAGCGCGCCCGCCGCTCCTCAGCCGCCATTTTCCCAGCAGCTTGGTTCACATCCATTTTCCTGAGACGAAATAGCCCCGGGGATGGAGGGAAAGGGGTGGAGGGAGGGGGAGGGGAACGGAGGGGCATTGTGAAGATCTCAGGAGAGCGGCAGGGGAGAAAGGGGAAAGGATTCTTTCTCTGCCCTCCTGAGGCCCCACCCACTTCTTGCTCCCCCTCCCCCACCGGTGGGGGGGCAAGCAGATGGAGAGGTTGAGGGAGAGAAAAGACGGGGGAGATAGCAAAAAGGGAAGGAGAGAGGAGGGAGAGAAGGAGCGAGGCTCTCACTCCACAGGGGTACCCTGACACCCCAAATAGAGCCCAGGCTGGCCCTCCTTCCTTTGAGTGAAAAAACAAGCCTGGGCAAAGCAGGAAGCAGGCAGGGAACAGGAAAAAGGAGACAAGGAGGAAATGCGCTTGTTGCTGTGTTAATCTAGCACGTGGTCAGACAATGCATTATAATTCTGGCAGTTGATTCCCCACTCGGGTGGCCCTGTGAGGGCCAGAGTAGAAATATATCCTATAGGGTTCTCATGGCTGACTTTGCCAGACCAGATCGCCAGGCCTTTCTTCCCAAGCACCTGTGGGTGGGCCTGAATCGCCAAATCTTCTATTAGCAGCTGAGCACCTTAACTTTTGCACCATCGCGGGACTCAAGACAAAGCATTGGAGCAGGTAGACCTGGGGTCAGCAAATGGTTGAGAAAGAAGAGCCAATCCTGTTACAACAATTTACAAAGTATTCAAGAGCCATAAATAAATTTTTACAAACAAATGAAAGCATCATTATCTGAATACTAGCCTATAACTTTTCCCCCCTCAATTTTACCTGAGACCCCTGGACTAGGCAAATCATTCTGAAACCAATTATTGAATCGATGTTGGTGATTTTTAGATTTCACTCTCAGAACCCATCCCTCCTTTCAGAAGCCTAACTGATGTCCGGAGGGAGGTGTTTGGAGTGTCTGTCCGTGCATGCTAAGCACTGCCCCAGGGCTTAGACCACCAGGCCACCAGGCACCATCTCACCACTCACCTCCCAGGTGGGAGGGGCACCCATCCCAGCGGGGACTCAGAGGACAAGGCTGGTTTGCCTTCAGGACACTGGATTTTAATCAGCTTGAGAACAGATAATGGTTCTCATCATAAATATTTCAGTTAGTACCAAGCCCAACAAATGGAATTCCAGCCATAGCCCTTGGGGTCCATCTTGGAGAAATCTTCATTTTTGTTGACAGCGCTAGGAGTTCTCCCCGGAGCAAAGACCCTCTGATTTGTCGATGGTTTTTCAATGTACAGCCATGTCAGTTTGTTTGAGAGACTGGACGAAGGGGAGACAGAAAGGTATGCATGGTTTACAGATAGGATCTTCTGTGTCCCCTTCAGATCTGTCCCTTATCACTGGATAAGCGGATGAGGGCTTGAACAGATAAATGGTTGGCTCCAGGAATCCACTCCTAAACCAGTGTTTCTCAAACTTGATCCAGTCACCTGGAGGGCCTGTTAGTACACAAATGATCGAGCCACACCCAAGGGTATCTGACTGGGTGGGTAGAATCTGGGCATCAGTGGAGACACCATTAGGGCAATATTATGGTAGCTGCAAACATTCTGCTCGATCCTGCCCAGGTAGCTCGTGTGCACAATGCCCCCCTGATGGTTCGAGTGTGAAGTTCGATTAGCAAGAGAGAGAGTATCCACGCACGAATGCACACAAAGGTCTGTGCTGCTGCCCTGCCCTGTGCTTTTGGTCTCTAGTCAAGTCTGTCCCCTGACCTCCAGGATCTCTTGACCAGCTCCCTCTAACCCCAACCAAACTCCCTTGCATTGGGTCAATTCTTACAGGACACGGTAGAACTACCTCTAGGACCTGCCTATTGGGACAGCATGGAACAGTCTATAGGACAGGGAAGAACTGCCCTTGTGGGTTTTCGAAGTTGTAACTCTTTATGGGAGTAGAAAACCTTGTCTTTCTTCCAAGGTATGGCAGGTGGTTTGGAACTGCTGACCTTGTCATTAGTGGCCCAATGCATAATTACCAGGGCTCCTAAATACATCCTTAAACCCTTAGAAACTTTCTTCCACAAAGTGGCTCTTGGGCCTTAGCCTATTCTTTCCTGGAATTTGATGACATCTAGTGGCTAACTGGAGATCTGGGCAAGTATCTAGAGAGCATTCTGCAAATTGAGCAGACAGGGTAAGCTACACGCACCTACTAGTGAATCCTGGGAGAAAAGCTCCGTGAATGGTTCAGGAGGGCAAGGTAATGCCTGGTTTAGCAGGGAATGGAGTCAAAATGGTTTTCTTGGCCTCCTGACATCTAAGCTATGACACACGAGTCATCCAAGAATCTTAGATCACCACCCACTGCATTTTCAGTTAAACTGATTTCCTAGAAATCTTCCTCAATGAAGATCGCGTGGATGACACAGAGCTGAGAGAATACCATTTTGATATCTGGCTCCTAATGGGGCATTCCCCCAGGTCTCAAGACGTAAATTATCCCAAAATAAGTCCAGTTCTAGACTGGTCAGATTAATGAGGTGTGTAGCAATTCTGTTATGGCTGGCACTGCTGGCTCAAGGACAACCAGACCAGATCACTGAGTGGTGGAATTACTAACGTTTCCATGATCCTGAAGGAAAGTGATATAAGCTGATGATACAGCAGGAGTTGAGTCAGGCAAGTGAAAGGATTTGTACAGATAGATGTCATTTGTATTTTAATCAAATGGTTAAACTACTTGCTCAGGGAACAAAGGCAGGCAGTTAGGGTTCCAGAAGAATGCTCAATAGCTTGGGGGAAAGGGCAGGTTTATAAAGGCCATTGCTATAGCATAGCTGTGATCCTAGCCCAGAGCAAGAAAAACCAAAAAACCTAGAGGATTCTGACCCAGTAGAACAGAGTTGAACTTCCGCTGTGAGTCTCTGAGACAGCCGGTGGCTTCAAACTGCAGGCCTTAAGCTTAGTAGCCCAACAACATGTAACCATTACACTACCAGGGCTCCTATCAGCACCTACAAAATCTCAGGTCCCAGTCCAGAACTCTTGAGCCAGACAAACTATATGAATGGAGCCGAGCAATCACCATCTGCACAAGCCCTGCAGGTGATCCTGATGCCCACTGAAGTTTGAGCTGCTCGGGCTGAAAACGAGCTTTAGCTGACCCACAGGGCCTGGGAGGGTGTTTGTACTCTCCTAGTGAATTTAAGGACGTGATGGAATGATTTCTCTAACACAGGCCCACTTCCTTTCTCTAAGTTAGTGGTGTCTGAGCTCTATAGGTTGTGATAACCTGAAAAAGGTAACGGACTGCTTTCACTTCTTCAGAATTTGGCGAACAGTGTTGATAAACTACAGAGTCGCAGGAGTAGCTCCAGCAGTCCTGCAGACGTGGGGCTAAGTTTCGAAACAAAAAGAAAAATGGTCCACCGCAACCTCTGTATGCATCAAATTTAAAGAGCAATTGGCATGATGTTTTTCAACTCACAAATTGACAAAAATAAAAAAGAGTTACATGTATGGCTGAGGAGACTAAACTATGGGAGGAAAAAAATAAAACCACTCCGGGTGAAGAAAACACCCAAAATTCCACATTCTTTCTGGCAATAGGTACAAGACAAAAGCTTTGGAAATGTGTCTATCTTTGACTCAGCACCTCTAATAGATTTTTTTCCAATAGATCTTAAAATACGATAGGTGCAAAGATATACCATGTCAGGAAGCTCCTGTATTGCTTAAAAACAAACAAAAAAAAACCCCCTTCCAACTATTTAAAGTTCAACAGCAGGGACCTGGGACGCCTATCACACTGTGCCCATCTGGCAGACCATAATAATCACCAGACGATCAAAGATCATTTTTCCAGTTTTTAAAAGGAAGATTTATTTAACAAGTTTCACTTAGTACAATACATCTAAATGGAAATCACAATACAGGGAAAAGATTTAAATCAAAGTTTCAGATTTTCATACAAACAACAAGACCAAACTCCTAAAGCATTGGTAGTACATCTCGAAATTGTCCCAGATCTTGAAAAAGAACAAAGTAAAAGTGTACACTCACGTGCCTTACAGGATAGTAAACCAAAAAGCTAGAATTAACAAACATGCCAAATGTTTTCACTTTGAATCGTAGACACAGCTCCTATATTTGAATTATACAGAAAGGCATGTTTCTCAACATGCATCCAAAGTTTTTTGTGTTGTTTTTCTTTTTTCTTCTTCAATGTATTGTGGTATAAGAGCAACATTTAACATAAGTGAAACTGCTTTAACCTAAATACGCTTACTGCTTAGATACACTCCTACAACATAACTAACTTTAGGAAAGCTGAAAATTGTTTTAACAGTTATGGTCAATACTGAACTTTTGTTATGACATCCTAGATGAGAATGCTTCGGTGCTCCAAATGACCGAGCTTGAAGTTTGAAAACAATCCCCACTTCCACTCACAGTAAGCATGAACCGCAAGCCTGTAATGCGGCAAAAAAACAAAACCTGTTAACCTTAATTTTTTATTTTATTTTCTTACAAAAGGAAGGAGAAAAAGGAAAGGAAAAAAAAAGAGGCTGACCACATGTGATCAGTAATATTTTCCACTAACCAACCATCCTGGATATGCCAGGCATCCCACCTCCCGTTCCAATCAATTCTCATACACGCACAGCTTTTTATTTCTGTGAATAGTTGTTGGGTGTACCTTCTCTGCTTAAGCAAGGTTGGACTGATAGTCACTGGAGTTTTCCTGCAGAACTTGGTCATAGCCGCTCATACTGCTTTGACCACCATAGCCGCCTCCATACCCGCCACTCAGCTGCTGGCTAGCAGGACCCCCATAGCTAGACTGGTTGGAGAGACCCATGCCTCCCATCATTTGGCTCCCATAAGCACCACCACTTGCCCCTGCAGTAGAATTTAAAAAGAGCTCTACGTAGCTGTGATCATAAGCCCCACCGCTGGTTCCCGCAGTGGAATTCAAGAAAAGCTCCACATATCTGTGTTGCATATTGGCTTTGTCTTTTGCCATAGCTGCCACAGCATCTTCATGAGTAGCAAACTCAACATCTGCCTCCCCAGTAACTCGGCCATCAGGTCCGATCTCAATGTGCACTCTCATGGGGTTCAGAGGAGAGAAAAAATTATAAATATCATTCTCAGTGGCTCGGTAGGGCAACCCTCTCATGTGGACACAGTGCCCTGTGGTACTCTGGAAACTGGACCCGCCATCTCCATATCTATGATCAGACATCCCTGAAAAACAGTAATTGAGGTCTCTTCCAAATCTATCAGACCCAAAGCCATACCCATCATTATAGCCGCCATAGTCATCATAGCCTCCATACCCTCCACCATAGGCACCCCGCCTCATCCTTTCAAACCCAGCTCCTCTGCCAATGCTATTGTACCCTCTGCCGGCCCCTGGCCTATCATAGGGACCTGGCCGCTGCATAGCCATGAGCTTGCGAGGAGGATCATAGTGGGTTCGGACTTCAGCTCGGCTACTCTTAAAGATTTCAATGTACCTGTGCCCTATTCTTTCCTTGTGTTTCTTTAGGGCCTTTTCAGCTATCTCCTGCGAAGCAAACTGCACAAAGGCCTCCCCTGTGCTCCGCCCCTGAAAGTCCACTGGCAGTGTCATCCCATTTGGCACAATTTCCAACCCTGAAAAGAACTGAACAATTTCTTCCTTGCTACAGCCAAATGGGAGTCCTCTAAGCCGGACGAAGCCATCATTGGCGGTATCAGGGCTATTCGGCCCGGTATGCTTCAACACCCAATCCATTTCGACGCTGTTGGACTTGAATACTTCCACGTATCTGTGTCCCATGGTTTCTCTGTCCTTCTTCAAAGCCAGTTTCACTTCGTCTTCCGACTCAAGTTCGACAAATGCTTCACCACTCGGTCGGCCTTCTCTGGTGTAGATGAAACGAATACCCGATGTGCCATTTTGAATTTTGCAATCTGAGAAGAAGCGCATCACCTCATCGGCTGAGCAGGACCAGGGCAGGCCCCTGACCTTCACCACGAACCCTTCCCTGCCTTCTGTGCCCAGCATCATGGTGGCTGTTGGGATCTCGGTGGCAAGTGAGGCTCAGTGCAATCTCGATGTAGCTGGAAAAAAAAATTCAGAAGGCTACTGTCATGGAAAAAAAGGCCCACAATGCACTACGTACCCAAAGTCATCTATTATAACAAAATGTAAGCACACTGAGAGCTTTTGGCAAAACATTTACATAAGCAAAATGACTGCACCAAATTTTCAAACCCATGCACTCACTCAGCAATCATTTATTGAATGGCTGTTATGTTTCCAAAATACTACAGCAAACCCCTGCTGCTCAGAGTGACCATATAGCATATAGTACAACTGCCTCCACAAGGTTTCAAAGCTATAAAGCTTTACAGAAGCACACTGCCTCATCTTTCGTCCACAGAGCTGGTGGCAGGTTCAAACCATGTATCTTTTGGCTAGCAGCCCGATGTGTAAGCCAGTGTACCTCCAGGACAGCACCATTAACGGTGGTTAATTCTGGACAGTACGCTTCTTTTTTGTGTGTGTGTTGTTCCAAGGATCGCCACCCTACGCCTTCTCCTCCCTCCCCTTCAGACAGTTCTGTAGATTCCAAGTTTTCTGCACAGAACATGTACTAGCATTATAGGGGGGACTTAAAAATGAGCAGCGGCAAATTCAGAGGATGGCAGCTCTGCAGCACATCTATGGTTAAAATGTAAGCAACATTATTATATTAAACTCATCTGAGTCAAGAAACTCAAAGCAGTATTAAGGCCAAAGACATAAACGTGAAAGAAACATTTTGAGGAAATCCAGCCTTTTATTTTAGGAACACTTTTTTTGTTGCCATATTGAGCATCTGGCTCCAGTATACAAGTATCAAAGCGCCCTGGGCTTACTAAGGTCCTACAGGCTCTGCCTTGGCTTCACTGAAGACTCAGATGGGAAAACACATTATGCCTGCCCGAACAGAACTCTGTCCAAGGAGTAATGGTGGTCTCAAGGAGGGTCAATTGTATCGGTCAGGGACAGGCTGGTTAAAATGAAGAGAATAATCAGTGCAAGGATATATAAACAGATTTTTAAAATATGACGGAGCAACAGAATAGGTAGGGGGCAAGGCCTGCTATAAGGCTGACAAGGTAAAAACCAACTCCGGAAGGCCTCATTGGATTTACAAATGCTAAAGGCCTTTTAAGGGATTTAAACGGGAGTGACGTCACCAGAACAGAACCCTTTCAGGCAGATCACCCTGGCAACAGTGTGGGACTCAAACAGAAGGGGGTTGGGGTGAAACTAGCCAGAGCAGTTTGCATCTGGAGATGTTAACAGGTTTCACCTAAGGCAACACAGGAAAGGGAGAAGAAAGATTGGCGCTAATAAGCATCTCAAAGAAATGGAATCTCCCAGACTTGACTGATTAGATAGGGGCTTAGGGGTATTAAAGGACAGGAAGAGTCTGGAAAATATAAATGGCTAATATGCATCAGAAGAAATGCTCAAACCTAATCACTCATCAGAAATACGTTAAAAGCAGAATCATCATTTTCACCCACCAAGATAGTTTTAAGAGAGAGAAGCAATGAGAATAAACCAGCGGGATTCACCACTGGAGTCCAAATCGATAACAGTATTTCTGGAAAGCAATTTGGTATAATATGTGTTATCTTGGGCAGAGCAAATCCACGTCTCCAAGTTATGCACCCTATCGAGATTATCTGAAATGCAGATACAATTTCATGTACTTTTAATAGTCTTTCAGAGTTATTAAATAATGATAGAATTATTTTAATAATTCACTCAAATAAAAAAAATTCACTCAAATAAAACAAATCACTCAAAAAAAAATCCAAACACAGGAGTTGCTTATACTTTAGTCCTAAATGGGCCAAGCTGATAGCTACTTCATAATCTCAACTATGCAATAACAAAAGCAAAAACACAGAATCAAACACTCTGAGCCTGTGATTCTATTTCTAGGAATCTAGTCAACAAATGTTCACTACAGCAGCTAGCAAAGACAGAAAATTGGAATCCGAAACAAATACTCCTCCATGGGGGGAGGGGGAACGATGAATAAATTATGCTTTCCTCTTCAAATGGAATGTTTTACAGTGGCTTTAAAAAGGAGATTTAGGGGGAGGGAGGGGAATAAATGAGGAGCTGATACCAAGGGCTCAAGTAGAAAGAAAATGTTTTGGAAATAATGGCAACATATGTACAAATGTGCTTCATACAATTGATTGTTACAAGAGCTTTAAGAGCCCCCAATAAAATGATTTATTAAATTTTTTAAAAAGAAAAATAAATAAAAAGGAGATTTATCTGCGTGGAACTAGAAAGATACCCACAACAGGGTAAGAGAAAGAAAACTATGCACAGTACGATTCTGCGTGCATGAACACTTAAGTATGCAGGTAAAAAAAAGACCCTGAAGCATAGAATACAAACTTGTTTTTAAGGAAGAACAGGAGGGTAGGAGGAATGAAAGAGAGCTCGACACCTTCTACCTTACATCTGTCTACATTGTTTTAAATCTTTAAAATTACGGTTTACAATTGGAATAAAAAGTTATAAAAACCCATACATGCATCAATTGTGTAAAGCATATTTACACATTCGTTGCCCTCATCATTCTCAAAGCATTTGCTCTCTACTTTAGCCCCTGGCATCAGGTCCTCTTTCCCCTCCCCTCCCCCATGAGTCCTTGATAATTTATAAATTGTTATTTTGTCATATCTTGCACTGTCTGACGTCTCCCTTCACCCACTTTTCTGTTGTCCGTCCCCCAGGGAAGAGGTCACATGTGGATCCTTGTAATTGGTTCCCCCTTTCCAACCCATGGGTTGTGATAAGAGTTGTAGGAGCCTCTAATAAAACTATTAAAAAATAAATAAAATGAAATAAAAAATAAATTTCATTATAAAAAAGTTATAAAAAGATGCACAGGGAATTTGTCAAATGTTAATAGTTCATAAATTCCTTGTGTTGTAGTTTTGTGGATTTTTCTGTTTTCTTTGGGGGAGGGTGCTCATTCTTAATTTTCTATAGAGAATTAGGGCTTTTTTGCCAGCAAAAATATAAAAGAAACAAAACGTTTGCTTTTCTGGCAGTTGGTGTGACAGACTGTATGAAATTTTCTAGTTTCGTATGTGGCCTGGGATCACTGGGCCTCTTGGGAAGTAAGTACAAAGTGTAATAACTGCCATAAAACACATTGAGGATTAAATTCAATAAATGTGCACTAATTGTCTATTATGTGCCCAGCACACTGCCCATCTGCAGTGATAAGTCTTTCTAAAAACCATACCTCGGTCAAAGTTGCAGATTTAGGTACTGGGTTTTGGTTTTTGTTTGCCTGCCACGTGGTTAGGCACACTACAAGGTGGGCAGTTCAAACCCACTCAACTAGAAGGAGACCAGGCCATCTTCACCCAAATCAAAGAATTCCCATCTCAGAAACCCTATATATTAGGATTGCTAAGAGTTGAAATCAACTCGAGGGAAGAGTTCATCCATGAGATGACCCATCCCATTTAAGGGCCCTGAAACAGTCCGGAGCCTTCCGAGTCTCTCTGTAGTGGCAGAAGGGCTCTGCTATATTACTGCATCTCTTGAGAAGACTAACAGGGACATCCGTACCTGAAGTGGGAACCACGATTCCTTCCGAAAGCCAAGAATTAGGTATTTATGTATGAGGGGGTTCCAAAAAGTTCATGGAAAAATTGAATAAAAAGACAATGGAAATTTTGCAAAAACTTTTTGCAACCTCCCTCATGTGAGTTCTACACACTTCATAAAAATTGTCACATGTGGAGTATTTTTCTTCCCCAAAGAAACTGTTGTGCAGTTATATCTAGATTTTTTAAAAATCTTGCTGTAGTACATGATTATTTTTGAAATGTTCCGGAAACGAACAAAATTTGTTATGAGCAAAAAAATAAAAAAGGAAAAGAAAAGAAATGCTACTTAAATATTCAATTCCGCAAAAACACTTACTGGGCGCCTCTATCCATCAGGCACGCAGTATCTCCTCAGAATTAACTCTACAGATACAATTCACTTGGTGCCTCCCCCGAAAAACAGACAATTAGACACTGAAGATTGAGTGCTTAAATTGAGTGGACCAGCACTCAGACCACTCGATCTCTGGTTTTTCTAATCCAAGGCCGTAGTTTTCAAACATGTTTCACCTTACGGTTCCTCGTAGGGTCCCCCGATACCCGCGCAGCCAGAGAGATATTCAAAAACACATACAGTCACGAACGTCCACCATTTCCCCACCAGGCGCAGCAAAGGCGGCTTCCCGGCACTGAGATGGGAGGGGGGGGTGAAGGCGGGAAGGGGGAGGGGGAGGAAGCGAATTAAAAAGGCGGAGGCGGCCTCTGAACCCCGCTTTGGTCCCCATCATCACCACCCCTGGGTCCCCGGATCCCACCCACACACCAACCTCTTAGATTTCGGGTAATTTTCCTCCTTCTTCCACAAATGGCTATAGCGAGATGATAGACGACGACCAGAACTACTTCTGCTCACGTAAGCGATTGTTCACGTGAGCTCCTACGTCATGTGAGATCTCAGTCACGTGAGCAACGCACAAATTCAATTCGAGATCACTGAGGTGCCGCACTTCCTCTCGGTACGGAAATCGGGCGGGCAGACGGCAAGACACAAAAAGAGTGCGATTGGTTGCCGGGCGTCTTACGGGACTGCTCATTGGTCCGCCGCGGGGGCTAACCGTCCCAGTTGCCTGAGAAACGATCGCGTCATTACCTGATAACTCCTCGGTGATTGGTCCGCCTCGAAGGTTAAACTTAAAAGGCCAGGTTACCCGCGGAACTGAGTCCCGGCTGAAGCAGTGACGCGGCCGGTGATGGGCCAAGGGCCGCGGCCGAGCTGTATGCTGGCGCTTCATTTCCTAGCCCTCGCCCTCGCCCTCTGGGGCGCCCCTGGGGCCGGCGCCCTGGACAATGGCTTGTCGCTCACCCCTACCATGGGCTGGCTGCACTGGGAGCGCTTCTTGTGTAATGTGGACTGCAAGGAAGAGCCGGATTCCTGCGTCAGGTATCATCTGCTGGGCGCACCCCTCCCTTCGCCTGCCCGTGTTTGTCTGGCTGCGTTGTAGGAGACGAAGGACCTCAGCAGAAACATTCGAACCAGCGGAAGAGCTCCCATGCCGCTGCTGCTTTTGGGGTGTTCTTATTTTAATGCCCAGCAAACTAGCCCTAAACTTTCGTCGTGTGGCCCTTTCTGGGGTGAGAGTCAGGCCAGCGGCCCCCACTTCTCCCTTTCGATCGTCCTGCCAGGCCACCCAACTGGAGATGCCTCCCATTGCCACTAGCTTCATCCAGACCCTTCTTGTGAGCTTTGCTTTGCTCTGCCTGTGCTTAGTCTGATCAGGGAGTGCAGTTGGGGTGCGTAGGAGAAACGAAGGAACCGGAGGCGTTTCTTCCCCTTTCGGAGTCACGGGTTCCTTCCCTGTAACCCGAGGGTGTGAGACCTTTGGGTCTCTGAGATACCCTCCTGACCGCCTCTTCTCCCCGACTTCCTCGCCCTTCAGTGTGACTTCAGGCTGGCAGGTGGACATGGAGGAATTCAGCACTGACAAGGGTCAGATAGGTCTTGCTCTGAGTCGATGGCATGGGTAAGGCAGCCATTGAACCGATCTGATCCTCACATTTCCTCCTTTTTAAATTGAAAAAAAACAAACAAAACTCTGACCTCATGGAGTCGACTCAGAAGGAGCAACCTGGGCAGGCTGGACTTTAACTTCAGAGAGGCCCAGCAATTAGCGACAGGTAGCTAGGCAGCAATCAGGAAACTGCTGGAAGCAGGTATGTGAGTAGCTTTTTGTCCAGTAGGCCCCTCCATCAGAGCCCCTTGAGGGGAGTGTGTGGCTCTTTATTCTTCCAATCAGAGTTTGGAGCTGGGTTCAGTGGTAGAGGTGGAGTGCTTGGGAAAAAGGAAGATCCTCTCTCAACCTCAGTTTTTTGATCTGTAAAGAAAATCAAGATCGTACCCTGGTCAGCTTTGAACAAGCTAATGCATGCCAAGGTCATAGTACCATGCTTGAGCTCTCAAATAAAACCTAGTCCATGGGAAAGTAAGTGTAAATCTGCACATGTGACTGTGTGTATTTGTCTTTGGAGCCAGGATCTCTGGCTTTCTTAAGATGCTCTGGTCCACCCCAGCCGGTCTCTGAGTCCGGTGAATGTCATTCCAGGTAAAGGCAGATATTGGTCAGAAAAGCAATTGGCTTCCTGAGTTTCAGACTAAGTCCTTTGTGACCCTGAGGGATCGCCTCTCTGATTCTAAGACTTAGGCTTACTCAATACACACACAAAAAAGTCCACAGCAGAGAAGAGGGTAATGAAAACAAAGATTACCCACCCCCACCTCCACCAGGGTGAAAAATTGCATCCTTGCAATAGGTTTCTATGTAAATATGAACACATTTTGTTCAGCAATAAAAATGGGATCATGCGTATGTATGTCCTCAGTGGTTAATAGCAAGGCCGGGTTCAAATTCCAGCTTGTCATTACTTAGCCATGTGACCTTAGTGGTGCAGTGGTTTAAACATAGTCAGGTCAGTGGTCTGAAATCTACCAGCTGCTCTCTGGAAGACAGACAAGCTTCTGTAAAGATTTACGGCCTGGACAACCCTGTGAGGCAGTTCCACTCTACCCTATAAGGTCACGAAGAGTTAGATTTGAGTCAGTGGCAGTGGTCTAAGTGTAAGCAGAGTGCCGGGCACAGAATACCCAAGAACCCATGGCCATCCAGTCGATTCTGACTCATTAGTGATGCTGTCGGCACAGGTAGAACTGCCCCGTTGAGTTTCTAAGGCGATAATCTGTAAGGCAGCATAAAGCCCCATCTTTCTCTAGCTTGCAGTTGCCTGCGGGGCTCACAGCCACTGTACCACCAGGGCTCCTTGTGGCAAAAAAATAAATGCAGTCCCTACCCAGTTGTGCCTTGTGTGTTGCTGTGATGCAGGAAGTCTTGCCACTGACGTTCCAAATTACCAACAGGGTCACCCATAGTGAGCAGGTTTCATGGATGGAGCTTCCAGACTAAGGACAGACTAGGAAGAAGGAAGAGATGGCCTACTTCTTTGTCACCTTGGGTAGTATTAACAGCATGTGAGTGTGTGTGTGTATCATGATGTATTTTAAACAGTCCCCTGTTCCGGGCTGTTTTCGCTTTTTTCATTATATTCAAAACTGTGTGCACCCCTGATTTCTTCCTTAGAATACATTTTTTGAAGTTTGCCTATGGGGTCTAAGGGTGGGTGGAAGAAGCCCTGGTGGTGTAGTGGGTTATGTATTGGGCTGCTAACTGCAAGGTCAGCAGTCAAACTGGGCACTCCGTGGGAGAAAGATGAGGCTTTCTAGTCCCAGGAAAAGTCAAAGTTTAGGAAAATCACAGGGGCAGTTCTACTCTGCCCTATAGGGTCGCTGTGAATTGGTATCTACTCAATGGCAGTGAGAATTTCGTGAAGGGTACGTTTTCTATTCACATTCCCCAACGGCATTGGACAAGAATGCCTGGTCAAAGCTGCCAATTGGATAGGTTGGGATTGCCCTTTCCTTTGCCTTCCTTCCAAGGTGAACATGATTTTAGATGTTAAACTGGCTCACCACTGTTTCTTTTAACTGAAGCTGATCCCCAGGCTTTTTTTCTTTCTGTGGTCCCACTGGGTAGGTTTGAACAGCCAACCTGGAGATTAACCGACCCAAACCAAACTCTGCACACGATTCGATTCCAACTGACAGTGGACCCTCTAGGGCAGAGTAAGCTAGAAATGTTTAACAGAAGCAGAAAGCCTCATCTTTTTCCTATGTTTAGGTTGAACACAGAGTGCAAACCGTTTGCACCAACTAGGGACCTTCAGGGAATCGTCAACACAGTTTCTGCTACTATTTTCATGGATCTTTCCCCATTTCCATTGTTGGTACCCTTGGACTTCATTCTCTGATTTAAAAGTGCCACGCTTCATACATACCCAGTTCCATGACAGCAGATGACAGAAAGGGTCGCTTTCAGAGCTTTTGCTTTAAATCCACTGGTCTATGGATTCTAATGTGAAATAGTAATACACCCGTTTCATATCCCCTGTCTAGAATAGTCACAACCTAAAGTGCCTCCAAATTAGCGGAACATTGGGGATCACTTTTGCCAAGTTCCTTAAGAAATCCTTTGGGGGGTTGTTCAAATGTATACAGGTTCAAAGGGAGATTTTCCATCTTCATATTACTGCGATTTCTTGTCTAAGAGCAAAATGTCTCTCCATGGATTCATATCATTTAGGGGTGTAAGTTTTGCTCATGTGACGGGTGAATATAGGCTCTTCAGCTCCACAAGAGGGTTGTCATTGGGATCTAGAGAAGCTTTGAAGTACGTAAACTGGGCACCTGGCCATCTTACTGAGCTTTCTCCTGAGTTCTAATAGCTTCCCAAAGTCATCGGATAGGTCCCCTTCCCGTGGTAATCAGTCATGTTGACGTTGCGTGGGTTTGTCTTGTTTTGCTTTTGCTTTTGCTCATCTCAAAGAGATAAGGGAAGGGGAAGGAAAAGGACCCCGTGAAACCTCTTTCACCTTGTTTTGGCGTGAGCACTACCAAACTATTACTGAGTGGTTTTCGTTTTGGTGTGTTGTTTTAAAGTAAATCCCAAAGGTGCCTGACAAGTAGGAGGCCGCCCGGACTTTTGGTTGAAACAGAATTGTGGTGATTCTTGGATTCTCTTCGTCAGTGAGCAGCTCTTCATGCAGATGGCCGATCTCATGGTATCAGATGGCTGGAAGGATGCAGGCTACCAGTACCTGTGCATCGATGACTGTTGGATGGCTCACACACGAGATGTGAAAGGCAATCTTCAGGCAGACCCTCAGCGCTTCCCTGGTGGGATTCGCCGCCTAGCCAATTATGTGAGTTTATTGATTGAAGTCTGTGTCTGTCTCCTTTCTCCCTCCCACTTTTTTCTCTCGCTCACTCTTCTGTTACTCAGGGACCTATAAGCCTTTTCAGAATCAGCTTTCTTGACACTCATAAAGTAGCATATCTACTCTTCACTGAGCATTGAATTGTAAACGTTTATTAGGTGGGGGTAGTCATTCCATCCGCTGATACTTATTTTGCAACAGCTCGTGAGGCCCATCTTGGAGAAGTTCTCCTTTTGCCCAAACCACTGGGTTTTCTGAGGAAAAAGCGAGAACTTGGTTCCCGATGTAGATGTAAGGAGCCCTTGTGGTATCAGCGGCAGTACAAATCTACCAGCCGCTTGAGGGGGAAAAGAAAGATGGGGTTGTGTGCTCCCATAAAGATTTACAGTCTTGGAAACCCTATATAGGGGTTGCCAGAAGCCGTGGTGGCATAGTGGGTTATCCATTGGACTGCTAACCACAAGGTCAGTAGTTTGAAACTGCCATCCATTCCTCAGGAGAAAGATGAGGCTTTGTCCTCCTCCTGGGAAGAGTTACAGTCTCAGAAACCCAGAGGGGCAGTTCTTCTCTGACCTGTAGGGTCAACGTGAGTCAAAATGGAGTCCATGGCTGTGAGTTTGGGGTTTTTGGAGAATGTGGAATCTACTCCATGGTAGTGGGTGGGGTTCTTGATGTATGTATGGGTCTATTTCCATTTAACCTTGAGCAGCTATTGGAATTGTACTATAACTAGAATTTTAGAAGATAGAAGGGAAGTATTCTGGAATAAATCCCTCATTGCCCGGTAAAGATCTCATTTGGATGAGCACCATGCAAGGAGTACAGTGGGTAAATCCCATCTTCATTGCTAACTGCTTGGTAAGGGTCAGCGTGAATGTAGTTATCAAAGTAGGGAAATGGATCCAGTATTCACCTTCCCACTTCTCATCCTTGTCAGCAGCAGCTCACATGGCTCGCTCTGTCTTCAACTCTAGCCACCCTGAACTCTTTCAGACCTGCCACCTGTGTAGCGTTTCCCAGCCCCAGAGCTCACCCACCAGGACACCTTCTTTCTCATTGCCAAATATGCAGATGCCAGCCCTTCCCACTGTGGGTTTGTTAATCCGCTAGAATGACTCCGAATTCACCATACTTAAGGCTACCACTTTTTGATAACCAAAAAGGATTCCAGGAAAGACACAAAATAAGACCTGAGAGGGAACATAGCACAAAAGAGGGACACACTACCCTCTCCTGTGCACAATCACCAACTAGGAAGCTCTTCAGAGCCTCTCCCCACATGGCCAGGGTAGATTGCATCTTGCCTTGTGAGTTCTAACCTCAAGCCCCAGTCTTAGCATCGTGCCTCTTAGTCTAGTCCAGGGGTCCTCAAACTTTTTAAACAGGGGGCCAGTTCACTGTCCCTCAGACCCGTTGGAGGGTCGGACTATAGTTTTAAAAAAAAAACTGTGAACAAATTCCTATGCACACTGCACATATCTTATTTTGAAGTGAAAAACAAAATGGGGCAAAAACACCCGGTGGTCTGGATAAATATCCTCGGCGGGCCGCATGAGGCCCGCGGGCCGCAGTTTGAGGACCCTGGCTAGTCAGTCCCCGTTTGATGGTCTCAGGTGTTGGTGTGGATGGAAAGAGCCAAGAACGCAGCCTTTGTGCAAAGTGACTCCACATCTCAAGGGATCTCATCAGAGGAAGGTTAGAGTGGCTGATAGCTTTCTTCTCAGTCCTCTACTGTAGCTTACATATATCAGGGTACTTGAAAAGGGTCATAGAAAAATGGAATTAAAAGAAAAGGGTTTCGTGGTTTTTTTTTTTTTAAGCCTCTGTGTAGTTTAAACCAGTTCAATAGAATTGATGGGAGAACTGTTCTTTGTCTTCTGCAAAGCTCAGCTGTGTTATTTTGAGGGTTTGTGAGGAAATGAAAAAACCAGAAGAACCTGATCCTTGGTGGAATGCACTTGTCTCTGCCTCTGTGTGGTGTGGTGTGGTTCTCGTGATTGCCATTCTATTGTACTAACTTGGTTTCCTCTACCTTCAGGTCCACAGCAAAGGACTGAAGCTAGGTATCTATGCAGATGTAGGAAGAAAAACTTGTGAAGGCTACCCTGGGAGTTTGGGACACTATGACGCTGATGCCAAGACCTTTGCTGACTGGGAAGTAGATCTGCTAAAATTTGATGGGTGCTACTGTGACAGTTTGAAACATTTGGCAGATGGTATGTTTCATTCAAGAGTTTTAGCCACGAGTAAAGGGAAGAACTTTGCCAAGGTAGCTGAAGACCAAGTAATGAATCTTCCAGCTTGCAATACCGTGATAATGCTACTCATTGTTACAGTGCCTCCACCTGTTCTCTTTCACTTTGCCCATCCATCCATCCATGTAAGATCCATGCACCCATAACCATAGCCAATACAGTACACTTTGAGTTTAAGAGGGCTCTAAAAGCCAGTTGAGTGGACCAGATGGTTAAGTGCATGGCTACTAACTAAAACCTTGGAGGTTCAAATCCCAGCAGTTCTGGAAGGCATGATACACCATTTAAGCAGAGTGCATCCACCCATCTCTGTTGTGGGTTTGAAATATACACAGTGTCCTTCCAGGCAGTGTCCTTTCAACATATTCAGTCCCAGCTGGAAAATCTCTTCTTTCCCTGATTTTCTCCATTGTTCTCTCATACAGGTTATAAGCAAATGTCTTTGGCCCTGAACAGGACTGGCAGAAGCATTGTGTATTCCTGTGAATGGCCCCTTTATATGTGGCCCTTTCATCAGGTGAGCTCGTGGGCCCAGGACCCAAGAGTCTTGCTGTGTTTGATTTTCAGAATTTGAGAACCAATCCCAAGGATCTTCAAAGGGACTGGTCCCACTTCACTTCAGACTATCATGCTACCATCTCACCTAGCCTAGAAACCAGTCACTTCTCCCCACCCCCACTGCTGTCCCCTCCATCTTTGAGTCTTCCACCATTCTGACCCTTCACATTCTACTCAGTGCCACTTTCTAAACACTCTCTATCCTGAATCCATACCCCCCTTTCCATCTCCACTGCTCCTGTTCTTGTCACCCTGGAAACCATCATCTTTCTCCCAGACTGCTGCTGTAACAGTCTGATCTACGACTTCTCTCTACCTATCCCACCACTCCAAATCCCTATTTCTTACAGTGCTTGAGTGTCTTTGTTCAAATAGAAAAGGAATCTCATCTTTCCCCTGCTTAAAAGTCATTGCATGTGGCATAAATCAAATTCTGTACAACAGCCCAATTTGACCTCACTTTTCCCTTTAGCACACTGGTTTTGGTGCCCTGGCGGTATAGTGGTTCCAAGTTGGGCTGTGAACCTCAAGGTCAGCAGTTGGAAACCACCAGCTGCTATGTGGGAGAAAGACAAGGCTTTCTACTCTTGGAAAGAGTTATAGTCTTAGAAACCCACAGAGGCAGTTCTACTCTATCCTTTAAGGTTACTATGGGTCTGAATCAACTCCATGGCATGAGTTTGTTGTGCTCTGTTTTGTTTGGGCATTGGCTTTACTTTCTTCACTGGGTCCCACAAACGCCTCAAGCCTATTGCTGCCTCAGGGCCTTTGAACTTGCTTTTTATTCTGCCTGGTAGATTCTCCCCTCATGCTTTTTCAATGGCAGCTCTTTAGCATTAATGGTCCTCTACCAGATTCCACATTTGAAGAATGAGAAGACAGGTCTTCTTGCTTTAAAATAGTTCTCTACCCATTTATGGAAGCCTTGGTGGAGTAGAAAGCTGCTAAGGCTTTCTACTCCCAGAGAAAACCACTGGGCCCATTTTACCCTGTCCCTCTATAGCAGTGGTTCTCAACCTTCCTAATGCAGTGACCCTTTAACACAGTTCCTCGTGTTGTGGTGACCCCCCCAACCATAACATTATTTTCGTTGCTACTTCATAACTGTAATTCTGCTGCTGTTATGAATCAGGCGACCCCTGTGAAAGGGTCATTCGACCCTACCCACCCCTTGCCCAAAGGGGTCGAGACCCACAGGTTGAGAACCGCTGCTCTATAGGGTCATTGTGAGTTGGAATCAACTCAGTGGCAGCGAGTTTTCTGAGACCCATTCAGGATCACCTTGCTGCTTCATTCCCTTCACAACGTTGACATGTCTGTCTAGAATGTAAGTTCAATGAGAGTAGGGCCCTTGTCCGACTATCCATCACTATATCCCTGCCATAGAATAACTGCTGAATGAAACCGGACTCCCTATTTCCTTCTACTTTCTGCAAAACGTCTTCAGTGCTTCCTCAACTGTCTGTCTCTTGAACTTCCAATACCAACTTTTATTCATCTCAGTAACCACGTCCATGCCTAAGATTCAAATGGTATTACGTGCTTGCTGGTGAATCCTTTGGGATTTTGCAGCTTTTCCTTTCAGTTGTGCATTTCTGATTCTAAAATGAATGCAGGCTCATGTTATTTTCATAACTTGAAAAATGCGGTACAGACCATTTCAGTGTCCCACAAGCCTACCCCACACCTTTTGGTAAAGTTCCAGCATGAGCAACATGAAAACATTGTAAGGGTTTCGAGTGTTACCATTGCCTTGTGAAGCACACGCCTTAGAGTGAAAGTCCATGGTGCTCGGGGTGTAGATGGACCCAAAGACTGCAGAGGGCCTCCTTTCTGCCTGGCTATTGTTTTAAAGGCTCTTAGTAGAAGGTAAACAGCAGAGCTCTCTCTCTGTTTTCACAGCCGAATTACACAGAAATCCGCCAGTACTGCAATCATTGGAGAAATTTTGGTGATATCTCTGATTCCTGGCAAAGCGTAAAGAATATTTTGGACTGGTCAGCTTCATACCAGGACACTATTGTTGATGTCGCTGGACCAGGGGGTTGGAATGACCCAGATATGGTAAGAACCTTGAGTCTTCCTTGTTCACGTTTGAGGGTGGGGGAGAAAGCTTTTTTGTGGGTGTACTTCCGGCAGGGTGTTGTCTCATCTTCTCTTCTTTGGATTATTTCTTTTTGTCTCAGCTGGTGATTGGCAACTTTGGCCTCAGCTGGGATCAGCAGGTAACTCAGATGGCCCTTTGGGCGATCATGGCAGCTCCCTTACTCATGTCTAATGACCTCCGGCACATCAGCCCTCAAGCCAAAGCTCTACTGCAGGATAAGGATGTCATTGCCATCAACCAGGACCCCTTGGGCAAGCAGGGGTACCGGCTCAGAAAGGTAGAGTATTGATGCTCTATAAGAGAAAAATAGGTTATCAGCCAAATACATGCTCTCCTGATTTCTCTAGTTCAAGGCACAACTTATCCGAACATTTTGAGTATTTTCAGTTGGCTTTTGTATCCAAGTACCAAGTTCACATTTAGCCTGATTTTGTTATATGGGGATATAGATCTTCTGAAAATATTTTAGGTTCCCCCTTATACCCCCCCACCCCGATCTTGATATTAAACTCAGTAATGAGGCTTTTGTTAGAATCATTATTCCTAAAATATGCTACGGTTACAAAAAAAAACCACCACCACCAAACCCATTGCCACTGAGTGATTCTGACTCATGGCCACCCCAGGTGTGGCAGAGCAGAACTGCCCTCCATAGTGTTTGGAAGCCAGGCCTGGCTTCCAGCAGACTTCTGAGTGGGTTTGAACCACTAGCCTTTCAAGCTTAAATATTTGTATATCATGCCCCCCCCCCCCAAAAAATAACAAAAACAAAATGAAACACAAGCCGCTGCCATTGAGCCAATTCTGACTCGTAGCCGCCCTAAAGGTACTCCTGTAAAGAGTTACAGTCTCCAAAACCCCCAGGGGCAGTTTTACCGTACAGGTTGGCTGTGTCAGAATCCACTTGATGGCAGAGACTTTTTTCAAGTCTATATAGGTAGCCTCAAGTTGCTCCCTCAGAGTGGCTGGTGGGTTTCAACAACCAATCCTGTAGTTAGCAGTCCAAAGTTTGCCCAACACTGCCAGCCAGGGACTCCAAAATAGGCTACAGGTTGCTTTTTCTTTTTTACAACAACGGCCTGATAGTGATGACAAGATAGCCGAAAGTCTAGAACTAAAGACCATTGATTGCCAGTTATCCAATCAGTACCCCTCTCACACTTGTGTTCTTGGGTTACTTTTCAGCAAGGTGACATAGAAGTATGGGAGCGACCTCTTGCAAGCCTCTCCTGGGCCGTGGCTATAAGAAATCTGAAGGAGCTAGGCGGACCTTCCTCTTACACCGTGTCACTTGCTTCCCTGGGTCGAGCAGTGGCTTGCAACCCTGCCTGTGTCATCACTCAGCTCCTCCCTGTGAAAGAAGAGCTTGGGTTCTTTGAATGGGTTTCGGTCTTAAAAACTCGCATCAATCCTACAGGCACTGTTTTGCTCCAGCTAAAGAAGCCAACAGTGAGCTAGACTGCAATATCAAACTACCTGAAAGAAAGTATATAGGATGTGTATGTTTGTGTTGAAATCGCTTCCTTATCACCTTGCCTTCCTCCATATCCAGCCATTGAATAAAATCTTCCTGTTGTACTTAAAACAAAACCAAACAAACGAAAGTACTTCTGCAGGCATCTATTGGGTGCCGAACGTGTGCCAGGCTCTGTTCTAGATGCTTACCATGTATTGATTCACTTTAATTCTCACTACCCTGAGGCAGGTGTACACTATCTAAAGCCAGGATTTGTACTTAAACTCTGATTGCTTTGCTGCTGCTTACTGAGGTAGGTAGATGGGTCTGTGGGTAGCTCTGCTCCCACCTTAGTTGAGTAAGATGGACTCTACTTCCTCTCCTCAGCTTCAGGGTAGTTGAGATCCCCAGGCAGCAGTAACGGTGACAGATCTGCAACTATGGATAGCTTAACTATGAAGCAAATTACTCAATTCTCAAGGACATCAATAATGGTTGTACAACATGAAGAGTATAGTCAATGGCACTGAAATATACATCTAGAAGTTGTGGAATTAGAGAATGCTTTGTTGTATTTTTACCACAATTAGAAAAATAATTACACGAGTAACAATGAGTACAAAAAAGAATGTTCTAATATTGAATGGGGTGATAATTGTGCAACTCTTGATTTGACTGAATAGTATGACATGTAGATGAAGTGCTAATAAAACTCAAAAAATTAAGAATTTGCAACCATAAAACATAACAACTTTCCTCAAGTTCCTAAATGCTCCCCCCCACTATCATGATGCCAATTCTACCTTACGAATCTGGTAGATAAGAACTAGAAACAGAGAATCCAGGACAGATGATCCCTTCAGGACCAGTGCTGAGTGGTGATACCGGGAGGGTGGGTTGGAAAGGGGGAACCGATTACAAGGATCTACATATAACCTCCTCCCTTGGGGACGGACAACAGAAAAGGGCAAAGGGAGATATTGGACAGTGTAAGATATGACAAAATAATTTATAAATTATCAAGGGTTCATGAGGGAGGGGATAAAATGAGCTGATACCAAGGGTTCAAGTAGAAAGCAAATGTTTTGTGAATGATGAGGGCAACAAACGTACAAATGTGCTTGACACGATGGATGGATGGATTGTGATAAGTTGTATGAGCTCCCAATAAAATGATTTTTTTTAATTAAGAAATCTTGTTCACAGACCACCACTCCTTTCAAGAACCTCTGAAAAACTTTTGAAGCCTAGGTTCCAGAGCCTAAAATGGTCTTGTAATTATGGAATGAAGATGACATCTTGCTTCCACCCAAAATAGTAACTGGATACATTAAGATATAAGGCAGGTGTGTACGCTTGTCCAAAAGACATATCATTCTATCCAAATGGCGTGCTTCATTTCATGGGACCCATGACAATGCAGTGATCGCTTCAAACCCAGTGTGTGCAAGTAATGTAATACTATTTCAAGGGAATGGAAAATCACGAAGAGCCTGTTTCACTTAAAATTCAGAGCAAGTATGTAGCCAAGGCTTGAAGCCTCTAAGATCCCTCTCTCCTCCCACATGAGCACAAAGAATGAAAGGCACCTTTTCTCATCTTATTTCAAATATCAAGAAAAGGGCCACTCTAAACTCACCGCCTACTCAGCAACCCTGACAGGACAGAACTGCCCCTGGTGGGTTTCCTGTAATCCTGTACAGGAACAAAAAGCCCCATATTTCTTGAGCACCTGGTAGATTTGAACTGCTGACCTAGCAGTTACTGGCCCAGAGTAACCCACTGCACCACTAGGGCTCCTCAAAATACCATGCTAATAACTGTCAGATTGTTACCATTTGTTTTCACTAACAATTGCAAAGCTTCAAGGTCATTCTTTTTGATGGTACCACTGCTACAGCAAACCTTCATTTCCATCCAGTTAATGAGATGTGCAAACCCAAATTAAGAATTGGTAAACCGATTCATGGTAGCAACACTCCCCTGCAGGAAAAACTGCTGCAGTACAGGGAGGCTGGCAGGTAACACAGGTATCAATGTGCAGCCCTACATAGTTCTACCCTACCCGTAGTTTTGCTGCAGTAAGCATTTAGTATTGCCATCGGGGGTGGGGAATTAAACACAGGAAATGACTATAAATTAAGAATGAATACTCTATTAAATCCTTTATAACCATGAAACAAGAGTGTTATGCTGTACAAGTCCAAGTTTTGCTTCTAGGGTTGCAATTCAGCTGTCTACAGGTTTAGGCCAAGCAAAATATATTAAGTATTAGTGGCTAGCTAGAGACCCTTTCCCAGTAAGTACACTTTAGTCTCATTTGCGTTCTCCCTGCTGCCCCACTGACCTGCCCAAGCTCTCCCACGTCCAATCCAAACACTGGCTTTCTGAAAGGTCAGCTCAGGTTATAGCAACTGTTTTTGGATTAAAAAATCCTGACAAATTCTTTCAAAGGGTACAGGATAATCATGGAACTTACTCTGGAAAAAAAAGGTGGGGGATACACACCAGGAATCTTTGTTCCCAACTCATGGAAACACCACTTTCAGAAATGTATAGAATCTAAATGTTCTGGAAACAACTTCACATTTCTGATGCTTTTGCTTAATAGTTTTGGACTTACCATGCTGGGTGGAAAATTGGAATGATAACGTAACTTAAAGGATGTGATGTCACTGAATTATACCTGTAGGAAATATTTCAAAGATTTTGAAGTAGCAAAACCTGTTACACATTTATTTCCCACTTTTACTCATTATGGAGTTAATAGTGTCAATCTGTAAACCTGAGGTTCCAATTCATCTCCCAGGATACCCCATAACCAGTGGTTTCACAATAGCAAATGTTTATCAAGTGCCAACATGTGATATTTGTACAACCAGTGATGTTCCATTCACAATGAATACCCAAGACCTAGAAAACCCATAAAGCGCAAATAAGTTCATTCCTTTACCAGGGGTGTTTCTTGACCGCCCAAATGACCAAATGCAACCAAATAAGGTACCTGTAACATTAAAACTTTATTGTTTTGTCAATAAACCATGATGAAGCTTAGAACTGGATCACCTGGCCCTATAAAGAGAGAAAGAAAAATTGAGTTTTGTGTTTCTTAAAGAGAATCTCTGGCCCATCAAAAACCATCTATATCCCCCTCCTCCCCGCAAAGGGATTTCCATCTTATGTGTCTGCCTCATTTTTCCTTTCCTACAATGTAGCAACTAGCACAATGAGCCTTTTACCCAGCAGTGCATCTCATTCTTCAGGCAGACTGTTCCTATCACTGTACCACAGTATTTGGAGGCAACATAAACATTATCCCCTCAAGCGAAACAAAAACCCACCGTCACTGAGTGGACCCTACAGGACAGGGTAGAACTGCCCAGTGGGAGACTAACACCCAGGGGAGGTCGGTGACCTCAAACTGCGGACCTTGCAGTCAGCAGGCCAAGTGACCACACCTTATTCCCCACCACCAAGGCTCCCAAAAAAGGCGGGGGAGACCGTCCCATTATGATTTACCTTTCTCTTCTTATCTCCTCCCAGTTCAAAATGCTTGCATCGCTTAATAGCTAACATTCTCTTAGATCTGCAGTTGGGCTCAACACACTCAAGCCTCAGCACAATCTTCTTTGTGGTTTTAGCCTGGAGTGGGCGGAGGAGAGCAGAAATACCATAAAACCCTTTGCAAATCATCACGTTTATTCACTTCCTTAAAAAAAGTTGCCTGTTGAATCAAGCACTACTTAAAGCAGAGCTTTGCATACCAGAGAGCCATGGCAATTTGTCTTTAGCTCAGGGAGAAAAATAGTGACCTCGAATATCTCGAGAGGATTTAAAAGAGAAAATGTAACTCCCAGACAGAAGACTGAACTCAATGGCAGGCCATCCAATGTCCATCAAGTCGGATCAGTCTCCACTCAAAGGCCACATCCTAGCTACATGGCTTGCTATTAGATGCCCCATGCCACCTCAAAGGACCAGCTCTCCAGAGTTCTCAAAAGTCTAATTTCACTCAGTGTACAACTGGCACTAATACTCTGCCTTTTCAGCCTGCCCCTGCAATGCTCCTTGGCTACTAGAGTTCGCAATTAAAAACAAGAAAACAAGGCCAGTACCTCCCCATCTTCAGACAAGTGACCCCAGTGTGAAAAAGCACAGAAACACCCCCTTTAGAAGAGAACAGATAGCTTTACACCTAATTCGACAGGAAAAGCCTTCTATAAATGCTTTGTGGCAGTGGGCTACACGAGCAGTTTGTAAAGTGCCAAAGGGAATGGTCTGGCTATGTGGTTACCAAATTGGCTAGGATGTGACACCAATACCTACTTGATGAGGCCAATCTAAGGCATAACTGGTTATTTTCAGTTTTAAGGACAGCAGGGTATAGTCTTTAGATTTTTCCCCCAAAAGGAATTAAGTGACAGACCTGGGCTGCATGGTTCCGGTTCCATCAACTGTAAGGTTATAAAATGTTAAAAAGCAAAGACAGGTCATTTTGAGGACTGGGGTGCACCTGCCTCGAGCTCCAGTACTTTCATGGGAATGTATGCTGGGCAATGTGAAAATAAGACCAAAGAACAGAAGCATTTGAATTATGGTGCGGATCCATCCGTTCATACCATGGACATCCAGAATGAACAAATCTGTTGTGGAAGAAGTACAGCCAGAACAGAATGCTCAGTAAAGTGACCACGAGGGTCTCACGTGCTTGGCCGTGTGATCAAGAGGGACCGGTCCCAGGAGGACATGTTTGGTAGAGGGTCAACCCAGCAGCTGCAACGAGGGCTCAAACATAGCCATGACTGCCAAGATGGCGCGGGCCTGAGCAGTGTTTTGCTTTGTTGTATATAGAGGCTCGTTTGAGTTGGAACCCACCCAACAATGCCCCTGCAGCTAGCTTGGTAACTTCTGGAACGTTCTCAGAAAAAAAGCCCTGTATTCACAATGGATGGACGGATGGATTGTGGCAAGAATTGTACAAGCCCCCAATGAAATAATTTTTTTTAAAAAGCCCTGTATCCTTTGATGCTATCTTTCCATGAACTTTTTGAAGCCCCTTTGTATGTGTACTAACAAGAACAACTTCAAGGCCTTTAGTACAGTTCCTGGAAAACACGTCAAACAGCAATTATCACTAACCTTCTTCCGGAAAATTGGCTTCGTCTGCCCACCATAGCCACTCTGCTTCCTGTCATATCGTCGCTTTCCTGGAAAAACAAGTTATTTGGTATAGAGTCCACAGAAAGCAATGTTCTAGAGCTATTCATCCACTATTCAGCAGCTGATAACTCAAAGTGGACCTCTTATTCCTCCTTAATTTGCTTAGTTTGGACACTGCTTCCAACGTCTCAGCAACCAACCAACCAAACAGGACTGCGACGAGAGAATGAAGCTTAACAAGAGGAATGACAGTGCCCATGACATACATGAGGAGGCCAATTGAGAGCCAGTGTTCCATTCTGTTGTCTATAGGGTGTGTTATGAGTTAGAACTGACTGCACCTTGCCGCCACTGCCACCAGATACCACAACAGAGGTCTTCTGATGGGGTTTACATTGGGCCTGACAATAAAGAAAATGCCCAAGCCTAGAAATAAATAAAAGCCACTAGGTTTGTACGTTAACACTACTCCCGCAAAAGTCCTCCCAGTTGAGACGCAACATCCTGGTAAATGGAGACAATTCTTTAGATGTCCACGATTTAATCTGCTACAGATCCACAGTCCACACCCATGGGGGCAGCAGTCAAATTAAAATGAATGGCACATCAACGCATATGCCACATTCACTCCAAATTACATGCAAGCCTTACCCTGGGCATACAGAGAATCTTTGCCCTTCTTGTACTGTGTCACTTTGTGGGGTTGGTGCTTGCCACACTTCTTACAGAAAGTCCGGCGGGTTTTTGGAACGTTCACCTAGTGAGCAAACCATTGGAAAGGCGCAGCATTATCAGACCACGGTAATTAACACAACGCCCGAACTGAAGCCATGTGAACTGAACGCTTTAGCTCCTCGCTCACACCCAGCGCCCCACGAGGCCCATAGAGAGAAGGGATCGGATTATCTCCGCCTTGCGGAGGGCTGACCATCCCCCGCTGAACCGACTTCACTTCTTTGCCCTCACCCCGCCAACCCCGACCACGTCGATTTCTGGCCCCTGAGCCTAGCAGATTCGGGGACGGAGCGGCACGAATGGATTTAGTTCGTCCACCGACGCTACACAGGGATTTCGAGCCATTGTAGGGCAGTATCATTAAGTGGGGACAAAGATTAAACTGGATGCCACTAGGCCCGCTCCCAAGCTCCTACCATGTTTACAGGAGCGCTACCAGCACGAAAAGAAAGCCCAGGGCCCGGAAACGGAAGTATGTAGGAGATTCTTGATCGCACTTCCTCATGGGAGGCGGGGGGGGGGGCCGGGGGGAGCAACCATAGAGTTTAAGCCTCCGTGCACAGCGCCCTCCGGCGGCTAAGCCGACTTGGTTCGGAAAGTCTGGCGGGCGCTTCATTCAGGAAGACCTTGACCTAAGGTTTTTAATTCTTCTCTGCCTTGTCCCGCCCCCCTAGCTTTGTAACTTTTCATCTTGTCCTCAGTTTCGCCGGACGCTACAATGTGATACCATTAAAGCAGAGGCAACCCTGTCCTTCCCCAGACCCTCGGACCTCCCTGTTCCCAAGTGAAGCAAATAAAACACCCAAGCCAAGAGAGAGGCAGAAAAATACTGAGCTGAAACACTAACACGAGGTTAAGTGGTGAGAGACTCCTCTTTCGTGTTCCGTAGGTAACGTCGTAACCTCGTTTGCCGAGAATGAATGCTTCCTTGAAGGGTTCTCAAAAAAAAAAAAAAAAAAAGAACTCCCTGCCTCTCATTCATTCTACCTCATAGTAACGCTCTGTGGGTTTCTGAAGTGGTATATATTTACCAGAGCAGAAAGCCTCCCTTTGCCCTCGCAGAGCGGCTGGTTGTTTCAAACTACTGACCTCGCGGCAGCCTACTACACTGAAAGCTACCCCCAAACCAAACTCTTTGCCATGGAGTCCAATCGGACATACAGCGACCTTATAGGCCAGGGTTGAAGTGCCCCCGGGGCGTTCGGAGAATAAAGTCATTCAAGGAGAAAGCCTTGTCTTCCCCCAGTGAATGCTTGTTGTTAGATGCCTCTGAGTCTGTTCTGACCCAGAGCAACCATATGCAAAACAGAAGGAAGCGCTGCCTGATCCTGCACCTTCCCCTTAATTGTTCTTATGCCTGAACACCTTGTTTCAGCTACTGTGTCAAGCCATCTTGTCGAGTCTTCCTCTTGTTTGCTGCCTCTCTACTTTACCCAGAAGTTCTTCCCCAGAGACTGGTCTATCTGATAACATGACCAAAGTACATGACATGAAGTCTCGCCATCCTTCTAATGAGCATTCTGGTCGTGTTTCTTCCAAAAGACATCAATTTGCTCTTTTGCAGTCCCTGCTTTCAGTATGCTTCGTGGGAACCAAATGCTCTGGTTCATCTATCGCATGGTCCGTTCAACAAATGTTTAGTGAATATGCCGACAAGGGGACCTTGATGGGGTAGTGTGTTCCAAGTTGGACTGCTAATTAAAAGGTCAGCAGTTGGAAAGCACCATCCTCTCCGAGAGGAAAAGACGAACCTTTGAATGCCCCTAAAGATTTACAGTCTCACGAACCCACAAGGGCAGTTCTACTCTGTCCTATAGGGTCACTATGAGTCAAAATCAACTCGATGCTAGTGAGTTGGTTTTGTTTTGTTTTGTTTTATTTATATGAAAAGGAGGCCTGGTGGCACTGTTGGGTAAGCATTAGGGTGCTAAGCTCAAGGTCAGGGGTTCAAACTCATCTACCGCTCCTCTGAAGAAAAATGAGGTTTTCTGCTCCCATAAAGATTTTTAACCTAGGGGGAAGGTGAGGAGAGGAGTGGCAGAAGGGGGAACTGATCCCAAGGATCGACACATAAGGACCCCCACCCCCACTCCTCCAGGGGGATGAACAACAGAAACCGAGGGGCTAGGGAGGCAGCAGTCGGTGTAAGATATGAAAAGAATAATTTATAATGTATCAAGGGGTCACGAGGGTGGGAGTGGGGGGAGGAAGAGGAGCTGACATCAAGGGGTCAATAAAAAAATAAATGTCTAGAAAATAATGATGGCTACATATGTACAAATGTGCCTGATATGATCAATGTAGGGATTGTTACAAGAGCTATAAGAGCCCCCAATAAAATTATCTCTTAAAAAAATATTCCTATTCGTTAAGAAACCCCCAGGGGTGGTTCTACCCTAAGGGGTGGCTGTGAGTTGGAAGGACCCCAAGGCAGTGGGTTTGGGGCTATGATGTGAGACACTATTCAAGAGGAGGGACACAATAACCAGGTAAGAATGGTCATCACTGGGGAATTATAATCTGAGTACTCTGAAGGAAATAGGCTCCTTCCGTTGAAGAAGTAAGAGGTGGCAGCTTTACCGACCGGAAACCAAGACAACGGCTTGCATACCAAAGGAGACAGACCATGGAGTTTCCCAAGGGAGGAAGAGTAGTGTGAGCAGATGAGGCAAGGGAATAGAACTACCCCTGTGGGTTTCTTAGCTGGTAGAGGTGGGGGTGGAAGGGGGGGGGCAGAATATGATGTGTGTGTGTGTGTGTGTGTGAGAGAGAGAGAGAGAGAGAGATTTGGTTTCTATTCGTAAAGCAGCCATCTCTCACTTCTTCAACAGAAGGAGCCTATTTCCTTCAGAGTACTCAGATTATAATTCCCCAGTGATGACCATTCTTACCTGGTTATTGTGTCCCTCCTCTTGAATAGTGTCTCACACATCATAGCCCCAAACCCACTGCCTTGGGGTCCTTCCAACTCACAGCCACCCCTTAGGGCAGAACCACCCCTGGGGGTTTCTAGGAGACAAGAAATTTTTTTTCAAAGAGAATTTTATTGGGGGCTCTTACAGCTCTTGTGACAATCCCTACATCGATTGTATCAAGCACATCTGTACACATGTAGCCATCATTATTTTCTAGACATTTATTTTCTATTGAGCCTTTCTATTGACAAGTTTGAATTGCTGTATGCAGAGTTGACGGTCTGAAATGTAAACCTCCCACCTAATTCACAATAAAAATTTATTACAAAAAAAATTGGCCCTTCTGGATTCTGAAAGGTGAGAATGAAATTGTTCAGCTCCTGCAATCGCAATAACATGACAATGAGATGGAAAGTGGCCAGCAGCGCTTCCGTTCCTTGCAAACTTGGCAGAAGACATGTGCTAGGTTTCAAGAAAGTCCAACGGAAAAAGACAGCAGGGCTACTTGGAATTCAGTTCTTAGTATAAGCCTGGCAGCATTGACAATGGATTCTCATACCGTTCTTACTGTCATTCAACAAGGTAACTGGTGTCATTACTCTCAAATTTGCCCAGGTGGGACTTGAGGCTATAGGATGTTAACATAATTTACCCAAGGATGACTATATTTAGGGGATCCAGGAGAAGAAGTCAACTTAAACCCACCAGATGCTCTATATAAAGACATACAGCCTGGGCAACTACCGTAGACATTCGTGTATGATCCAAGGTTTTTCAGCATAATTTTATGCAGTTTTTGTGGTAAAATTAAGTGTCTCGGCTGATATTTGAGTCGGCTTATACTTGAGTATATACGGTGTGTATGTGTGTGTGTGTGTGTATTTGAAATTCTCATAACCACCTTATATATTAACTCATTTAATCCTGACGACATCTTCAGGAAGTGGGTACCATCACTCTTATTTTACAAGTGAGGAAACGAAGCATGAAATTCACTAACCTAGTAAAAAATAAATAAAACCTTTGATAATGTCAATAAAGCTTTTACAATTTTTTAAAAGAAATTCACTAACCCAATATCATACCGGCAGTTATTATACCGGCATCTTTGGATTTGGAATTTGAACTCGGGAAACACCACAACCTTGCCCTTAACCCACTGCACTCTATAGAACAAGCAGGGGCATCTGTAGTGGTGCCAGTTAATTAGGGGTTGAGTAGGAGAACGTGTGGTCTTCTGCTTGCTTAACCCTCCCCAAACACCCATAGGTTGTGAGCTGACTCTGTGACCACCTTATTTTGGTTTGGTAGTCCTAAGAAATGATAAAATACAAACTTCCCCTCTACCTTCTCGCCAAAAACCAAACTCACTGCCGTGGAGTCGATTCTGACTCATGGTGACCCTCCAGGACAGGGCAGAACTGCCCCCGTGGGTTTCAAGACTGTAACTCTCTACGGAAATGGTTTCCTCCCTCCCATACAGCTAGCCTTTTCTTCTTCTCTACTCTAGACAGCCTCTTAGCCTATTCTGCTGGCCTATGGGAACTTTTTAAAGGTTTTTGATATTAAAACAAAAATCAAACATACTCACTGCCACTGAAGCTATTCCAAATCATCAAGCTCAAACTCACTGCCATTGAGTCGATTCTGATTCCTAGTGACACTAAGGGACAGAGTAGAACTGCCCCTGTGGGTTTCTGATATTGTTAATCTTTAAAGGAGTAGAAAGCCTCATCTTTCTCCCAAGGAGTGACTGGTGGTTTCAAACGGCTGATTTTGTGGTTAGCAGTCCAACGCATAACCCACTATACCATCAGGGCTTCTTTCTGACTCATAGTACCATGGGTATATAAACACGTAAACGTGACCTCTCAGTCTAATTTGTAGCCCTCATGTGACATAGTGTAGGTTTTCCTTGCCTTCAGCAATCATGATCTCCATTTTGAACATGCTGTTGCTCATTCATTTCCCCTATAACCAGGCACTCAGTCCTAGACATAAAACTCTGAGTGTAGAGGAAGAGGTCCCGAAGCCTGAGCGGCAAGATGTGTGACTTCACCGAGGACCAGACCGCAGAGTTCAAGGAGGCCTTCCAGCTGTTTGACCGAACCGGGTGACGGCAAGATCCTGTACAGCCAGTGTGGGGATGTGATGAGGGCCCTGGGACAGAACCCCACCAACGCCGAGGTGCTCAAGGTCCTGGGGAACCCCAAGAGTGATGAGATGAATGTGAAGGTGCTGGACTTTGAGCACTTCCTGCCCTTGCTGCAGACTGTGGCCAAGAACAAAGACCAGGGCACCTACGAGGACTACGTTGAGGGCCTTCGGGTGTTTGACAAGGAAGGGAACGGCACCGTCATGGGGGCTGAGATCCGGCATGTCCTTGTCACACTGGGTGAGAAGATGACGGAGGAAGAAGTAGAGATGCTTGTGGCCGGGCACGAGGACAGCAATGGCTGCATCAACTCTGAAGAGCTCGTCCGCATGGTGCTGAATGGCTGAGGGCAGCCCTTCCAGTGTCCCCAGAGCCCTGTGCCTTTTCCCATGTGAGACTGACTGTGTGTAGTCCCAAGGCCTCCTCACTGTCACAGCACCTCGCCCTCTTGTCTCTTGGATAATGTTTGCGGCAGCAGTCACCAAATAAACTTGCTCTCTGTGTTCAAAAACAAAAAAACTCTGAGTGTACCGTGGCCTTACCCAGTAGGTCACACTTTGACTTTTCTGTCTACACATTGTCCTTCTCCAGGTGAAACTTAATGCCACTGGGGCTTTTTGGGAAGACATGTCCTGGGCACAGCACTTCACTTAGTTACAAGCATCAACCCCCTGAAAAACGATCACAAGCGTTACTGCTTACCACACTTACCCAGGGGATCTTGGAAGTTTAATGTTGGGGCCTAATTAATGGGGCGGGAGCCCTGGTGTCATAGTGGGTTACATGCAGTGCTGCTAACCACGAGGTCCTTGTGGGAAAGACGAGGCTTTCCACTCCCGTAGAGTTACAATCTTGGAAATCCACGGGGATAGTTCTACTCTTGATGGTAGTGGGTTGGTTTTGAGTTTACAGGGTTCCTCTAAGTTGGAATCAACTCTATGGTAGTGAGTGAATAAGTGAATTATGGGACATAACCTTGGTATGCCCCTGGTAAGATACATTAAAAAATTTTTCAGTTTATTTTTAACACTTTTGCTGACATATCAGTCACGTATCATACATTTCAATATTTCTGTCACATTCATAAGCATTGTGCAGCCATCGCTATATTCTGGGACAGTTTTTTCTTCTTTGTACCCGTTGTTGTTAGCTCCCCATTTCCTGCCAGCCTCCCCTACCACGTCCCTTTGAATCTAATTATCCAGTTGTTGTCTCTATAGGTTTGTCTAATATGGGTTTCACATACAGAAGAACAGACAGAATATAAGCAAATAGACCAACAATGATGGCACCATAAAACAAAGAAAAACCTCGATTGGAAAATATACAAAACTGGAGCAATTATATATTGAGTCAAGAGGGAGACCAATGATAAGGTATTACATTTTAACCTAACGACATCATCCATAATCAACTTTACAATGCCTTCTGTCTGATAGCAAGGCTAGTCCCAACCCTAGAATATGATCAGAGGGGATTCTGGGGAGGTTTAATCCACATCGTGGAGACCTTGCAAATGGATTTTGGGTTTTTGCTGTCATCCAGTCTTCTGCAAACTGCGTGCTCAGAATTTAAGCTCTGATACTGTTCCATCCTTTAGATTTGAATTATATTATTTACAACCCTTGGATCACACAGGCTAGTGTGCTTCCATTGGACTTAGCTGATGCCTCACTTAGGTGGCTGCTTGTTTTAAGGCAAGTCTTTAAGACCGCAGACGCTATTCTTTCTGATAGCCAGCCCCCATCTGTTTTCTTCATCACACTTTGCTATAGAACCCATGTTTTAGTGGTCACTTCGTGGGGGTAGGTATTGAGAAAGGCCATGTCACAAGAACTAATTGTTAGTAAGATTGTATTTTTATTGAATTTGGCTTATGACTCCAAGGGATAATGATAATTTTGGAAACAAATTACCTGGATTCTACTCAATACACTTGAGTTTTTCCCATAGCGTTGTCCTTGTAAGCTGTTTTCAACATCACAACAGTTTGTGGGGCATTTTTCCTGAGCAGGAAACAACATTTCACAACCACACACTGCTCTCACAAATAGGCCATCCAAAAAACGAGGTTTGAGCAGAACTGCTTTTACAAAAAGAGTCACTGTGACCAAAGAGAACATTCCCAGGCAATGCCACTTGATGCACTAACTCAGAGAGAGTTACTCAATGTTCACCGAGCAGGAAAAATGCGTACTATGCTGGGTGCAGCTTTTTTCCGTTTTTGTTTTTGTTTTTGGAGGTGGGGGTGGGGGGAGATAGTGTGGGTTTCTAGTGCCAACCTGGCCAATAAATACATGTGGAATTAATTGAAGGACGGAGAGATAATGGCTCCGTGAGCCTTGCCTTTCCAGTTCTCGGGTCTCTTGCTTTCTGATGGTTGGACCAGGAAGCAGCTGCCTTAGCTAGTTCCCTGCTTCAGCTGACAAGGCTCACTTCCTGCGAGACATCCCCGAGAAGAAGCCACACAGACCTACTCTGATGCAGCCCTGGGTGCTGGAGCAGCCCAGCGTTGAGATGTTTACATGCTCACTGATTTGGCTTTCCTCCTGTAGTCGGTGTCATTGTGTGTGCTTTATGAGATTGAGGAAGACTTTGTAGATTGGTCTTGGACATATGGGCTAATGTTGGACTTATGGGCTTGGATGGCACTGGACGGCACTTGGACGGGATGCTTTCTTAATGTACACTTACCCTTTATATAAAACTCTCTCTTATATACATATGACTTTCTGTGGATTTGTTTCTCTAATGTACCCAGACTAACACAAGGTGGTATCCCCGTGTATATATGTTCTTTGTTTCTTTGGGGTGTATATTCAATAGAGAGATTGCAGGGCCATATGGTATTTCTATTCAGATTTGTATAAGGAAGTGCCACACTATTTTCCAGTGTGCTTGCACAATTCCACAATCCCACCAGCCGTGTAGGAAGGTGCTGACCTCTCCTGAGTCCAAATCTTAAATGGAGGAAACAGCACCCACAGAAAATGAGGAAGAGCACACATCTTTGTTAGGGTTTCCATTCTGACACTTTTATCTATAGGAAAAGCAAACGCTTTCTTAGAAGATGACTCAGGAGGGGGAAGTCCACTGTCTGAGGCTCTGTCACGCTCAGGCTTTGGGGGTCCCTGTGCGAGCACTCTCCATTCTTCACCATCAACTCTACAGCTGTGTCTTCACCTCAGAGGATATGAGCCTCAAAGGACACTACTCCAGGGCAGTCCCTTTTTCCTGTCTTAACCAGACCCTGCAGTTCTCCTCATTCTGTATGGCTCCACTCCCTGTGCTAACCATCCCTGCAGTCCTCAGAACCTGCTGTCCTTATACCCTGGGGGAGCTCAAGCTGGCCACTCATCTGTTCCACCCAGCCCTTTCTAGAGTCTCAGTGGCCCCAATAGTGTTGAGGAGGGTTCTTCCAGAGCAGAGCACAACATAGTCACCCCGTCAGAGGTCCCAAGCAAATGAAGGGCGGAGATAGCTGGGGAAGAGGGCCCAAACGGACAGCAGCAGGGAACCAGATACCATGCTGTTGAGGAGAAGAAAAAAAAAGCCATTGGTTTAAGTCAGGAAACAAAAAAAGGGAACTGAGTGGCTGTGAAAGGGTGGGGTTTGCTCAGACAGTCCTTCCTCTCGGGACTGTAAGAATATGTCTCCAGGGCCAGTGTCTTCTGAGATCGAGTCTCACCTTCAAAGTCCTGGCATCTCAATGCATCTGGGAAGCTACCTGTTTTAAGTCAGGACTGAGGTGGGTCCGGGGCCTCGCAGGAGCTGGGCAGCAGCAGCGTGTACCTGGCGGGGGTGGAGGGGGGCTCTGAAGGCCAGAGAGAAAGTAGAGCGGGTGTCATAGAGTTGACTGGCGGAGGTGGGGTGTGGGGTGGTGGGAGTGTCATCACCCCAAGGTCCTAGCAACCTTTCCAGTGATCTTAAGGGGCTTTAATGACTCTATCTAAGGAGGGGTATGGGGAGGGGGGATACAAAGAGAAAAGGGGAACAAGAGATGACCATCCGGAAAGGCAGCAAACGTTGGAAAGGGGCACCTTTGCAGATCTTGGTGGAAAAGTCACATTGCAGGTGGCAGTCGGCTAAAAATAAGCAAGCCTTTTGGTCAACAATGGCTTGAAGAGGCAGAAGGTAGATTTGCGTCAATGAGGCCCTCGGAAGGAGGAATTGGACAAGGCAGATTCTCTGAGAAAACCGGCCAAAGCTCACATGCCACAACAGGTTGTTGACCTTGGGATGGGGAGAGGCTAACTGTTACCTAGGGCAGCATCAGGCAGACAGGCCTAGGGCAGAGCTGGCTTGTTGGCAGGGTTGAGTGGAGGCTGAGCCAGCCTCGTGGTAATAATGGGTAAGCGACTTGGCCAGAAGAAGGAGGCAGCCTGAGCCTCAGCCCAGGGACGATGTGGCCAAGCGGGGAGGTTGTAGTGAATACCAATACCACCTCCAACCATGTGCGTGGCTTTCCGTTCTCTTGTCTTCATTATTTCTTTCTGCCTCCCCACTTTCTTTCTCCTCATTCTTCTCTTTCCTTTCTCCACCGATCTCCCCACATTGTCGTACCCACCCTCATTCTGTTCCTTATGATAGCCCCAGGCACAAAGTCGGTGCTGAATAAATGATGATCAATTTGCACTGCATTCCTCTTGCTTTTTCCTTCCCCTTCTCTGTTCCCTTCTCCTCTATTCTCCCCATACTTTCTTCAGAGGGCTGCTGTGAGAACACAAAGTGTTAATATGTTTGTTTGGTTTTTAAAAAAGAAAAAAACCCACTGCCTTCAAGTTGATGCTGACTTATAGGGCCCCTGGGGGACAGAGAAGAATGGCCTCATAGGGTTTCCAAGGTTGGAGATACTTACAGAAGCACAGTGCCACACCTTTCTCCCGAGGAGCAGCTGGTGCATTCAAGCCACCCACCTCTAGGTTCTCAATGGTGCACTCGAACCCAAACCCATTGCCATTGAGTTAATTTCTACTCATGGTCACCCTATAGAGAGTTTCTCGAAAACTGTAAATCTCCATGGGAGCAGATAACCCCATCTTTCTCACATGAAAAGGAACCCTGGCGGCACAGTCCAGTCAGCTTTGGACTGTAACCACTAGGTCAGTGGTTCAAATCCACCAGACACTCCAAGGGTGAAAGATGAGGCTATCTGTTCCCAGAAAAAGTTACAGCCTCTGAAACCCTATATAGGTTCGCTGTGCATTGGAATTGATGTCGAGGCATTGTTGTTTTGTGGGGCGGTGGGGGGGGGTTCTCTCATGGAGCAGCTGGTGGTTTGGAACTGCTAGCAGTCCAACTCTTACCTGATAACAGGCATCCTTTAATATAAGTGAAAACAAATAAAACTCACTGTCATTGAGTCCATTCTGGCTCATGACTATAGGACAGGGTAGAATTGTCCCTGTGGGTTTCCGAGACTGTAACTTTGCAGGAACAGAAAGCTTTATCTTTCTCCTGAGGAGCAGCTGGTGGTTTCAAACTGCTGATCTTGAAGTTAGCAGCCCAACGCATAACCACTACACTACCAGGGCTCACTTAAATTAGGGCCTACTGCATACTAATTGCTATATATTAGCATTGGTTCTTATTTTGATTTTCCCTGAGATCTTGTGGTGTTCCCAGAAGTCCCTGCTTAGAGAAAATGATAAAGCACTGAGAGTAGAAGGGATTGCTGATCCTGTTCAAAAGAACATCCTAGGTTTCCTGGCTACCCACTCTCGACGCTGGCAGTCTCTCTGTCCTGCTATGAATTTCCAGCGCGTGCAGGCGGGGCGTGCGCGGGGAGCCGGGCGTCTACACAGATCAAGGATGTCTCTTTGGAAGTCATCCCCAGATGCCTTTAGGGCTACTGTTGGGTTATTCGTTGTGTATTACTTCTGCTCCTTGACTTATTTTGTATATGAAGCCCCTGAAGACAGGCTGCCCCTGTCTCTCTGGTGTTTCGGTTATTTTTCAAAACAATATGCCATCCTCCAAATAAGCCATGAAGTGCAAATACCCCTGGAAACCTGCAGTGACCAGAAAGAGCATTCTTTAGGGCTAGTCCTATGCCCTTTATACTGACCGCTTTTATATTCACACTAAAGGCTGATTTGAAAGTACAAATTCACATTGCTTGTGGGTGCTGATGGTTTTGTTTAGCATCCCTTGTAACAGTTCTTCACAGGGAGACCCAGGGTAAGTTTCCACTCACTTCTAGAGTATTGGTGGCAATTTTTAATTACCATCACTATAAGTTCTTATTTTCGTTCTGGCAAATTTCCTCTGAGTTGTCTTTCAGTGGATGAGACTTATACCAGGAAATGACTTAGGGGTAAGGGGGAAGATTTGGCTTACGATGATGACCCAAACATGAAAGCTTGCCCCAAAGTCTTCAGAGAGATGCCATTTTGCCTTCAATGACAGATCGACAGATCTGACTGGCAACTCCTGAGAAAGAGAGAACAAGAATGCTCAGTGAGTCAGTGCTCAACAAGAAGCAGTGGAAGAAACCTTGGCCTATTTGACCTGGAAGCAGCTTGCTTATGCAAATGAAGTCAGGGAGCAGCAGGAAGAACTGCTCTGAGGCCTCATGTGCATTTCAGTCTCTGGGGATTCCTGTGTAGTGACCGAGGGCATTAGAGAACTTTAGGAACCTGGAAACTTTAATCCCAGGCGTACATTTCTTCTTTAAAAGCCATCAGCAGATGACTTTAGGGTGAATGTTGATTATTTGAACCTCAAGCAGCTCACCGAACCCTCCTGCCTCCCTAAAATGAAACTAAATATTGGGTTTCAAAAATTGGTTAGACACAGAGCAGAAAGAAAATGAGGGTGTGAGGAGTAAGAGGACACTTTAAAATTGCTCTTTGGAGTGAAAAGTGATACAGTTTTGGCAATATATAACAAAATGAAAAAATTATACATCCTTCTTTTGACATAATTTTTTGGTTCTGTAAATAATATATGTGTGTATTACACACATGCATACGCACACATACATGTAGTAAATACACTATAAAGCTGTCATTGAATCATGGAAACCCCATGGGTTATAAAGTAGACCTGTGCTCCATAGTATTTTCTTTTTTTTTTCTTTCTTTTTTTTTTTACCCCCAGAGGGGCTGCACCGTTCCTGGAAGTACTGCAATACCACGCTGATGCGTGGAGTGGGTGGAGCAAGCTCCTGATCCAACTCCTACTCGCAACAATACATTTAATATGTTTGTCCTCAGATAGAGGACGTATCAGATATTAAACTGATAAGAACAGATACTACACTTGATCTTAGCCAAAAGGCCGAGAAGCGATGCTCCATAGTATTTTCCTGGCTGCAATCTTTAAGAAGAAAGATGAGGCTTTCTACTGCCACAAAGAGTTCCACCCTTAGAAACCCACAGAGGCAGTTCTACTCTGTCCTATAGGATCACGGCGAGTTGGAAATGACTTGATGGCAGCGAGGGAGGCTCTTTATGGAGAGTGCCAGTCCTTTCTTCCATAGTGCTTCTGGGTGGGTTCAAAACATCAGCCTTTCAGTTAATAGCCAAGTGCAAACCCTTTGTGCCACCCAGGGATCTCAATGTTGTTTATATTAAAAAAAACCTCACGCCCATCGAGTCGATGCTGAGTCAGAGTGATGCTGTAGGCCAGGGTAGAACTGCCTCTGTGAGTTTCTGAGACTGGAACTCTTTCTCCCCCAACAGTCTTATTAGCACTTCATCCACATGTCATAAGTTCAAAAATTCAATCACATCCAGAAGGGTTGTACAATTATCACCACACTCAATTCTAGAACATTTTCTCCTTCCTGGTATTCAGTGTTATTCATGGAATTATTTTTTTATAATTCTGGCAAAAAATATACACAACAAAAACATTCTCCAACTCCACAACTTCTACATGTAGGTTGTGTTCATGGGAGTAGAAAGTCTTCTCTTTCTCCTGCAGAGAAAGTCTTCTCTTTCTCCTGTGGTTTCCAACTACAGACTTTGAGGTCAGCAGCCGCACAGCACCAGGGCCCCTTTATGATGTTTGTAGAATATTCCTAATAAAGTGGGAGAGTACTCAGGAATAATAAACAAGAACTTTAGATCCTTTCTGGAAAAAAGGTATAGTATATTGGGTGGCTAGATGGTGGGTAGGATGGTTAGCCAGGTGGAAAATGTTAAGAGAAATAAGCAAGTGGCAAATAGTATGCACAATAAGATCTCAAGAATAAGATAAGTACACAAGGAAACGCACAGAAATATGCCAAAGGATGCTTAGTACCTCTGGATAATGAGCTTCTACATACTTGATTTTTTTCAGTATCGCCATACTTGAAGCATTTTTCTATAATGGGCATGTTATGTTGATGTCTAGGGTGGAAATGTTTCGATTGGGGACTAATAACTAAGCTGAAAGAGAAGTCCCAAAGGGTGAATCCATCTGGAGTGGAAGTGGGGACAATGTCCCGAATAGTTCCATCACTCTGACGTGGAGTTTACACTTGCTGATTGACTCTCGGAGTCTCTTTCCAGTCTCTCTTGGCCAGAATCTCTAGTCTAGTCTCTAATGTGGAGCAGAAGCCTTGAAAGTTTCCAAAATTCAGAAAAACAAAAAAGGAAAATGGGTCAACAACATAAAATGACTGGGAAGACTCCCACCCCCACCCCCCAACTCCCGGCCAAGAGTCTCTTAGAACTGACAAGGGCAGATAAGGACTTATGTGGGAGCACACAGCCAGAAAATGAGTGTTTGCTGGAGGTCTTCACCACCAGTAACTGG